GTGGTGTGTGTTTCTGGGAATGTTTCTTTACTTTGCAAAGGGACAGGGGAAAAGAGGGTCTCCTTCCCCAGCCATATTCTTGACTATAAGTGATGCTTGAACATAACAGCTGCCATCTTATTATATGGGGACAAACTGAGGACAGCAGAGTGAAAATCCTTGGTAGCACGTTTTTAAACCTGAAGTATAATTTACATACAACAAAGCACACAAATATTAAGTGCACAGCTTTGAGAATTTTTATGTATGTACACACTCACGTAACCTCCCCGATCTAGATGTAGAACATTTCTGTTACTGCAGAGGGCTTTCTCCTGCCCCCTTCCAGTCAATACCCAATACCCGCTTCCAATATCCTAATTCTTATCTCATAATTGCTTTACCTGTTCTTGAACTTCATGTACATGATGCATATAGTGCAGGCTCTTCTGTGTTTGGCCTCTTTTGCTCAACATGTTTTCTTTGAGATTCATTCATACCTTTATGTTTATCTTTAAAAAAATCATTGATCAGTGTTCCATTGGTACCACAATTTATTTTTTCACTTCCTGTTGATGGATATGTGAGTTATTTTTAGTTTTTGGCTATTATGATCAAAAAGGTACTATAAAAACTCTACATACCTGTCTTTGAGTGGATATTATCTTATTACTTCTTACATATGTATATATGAGAGAAGTAATAACATAATATATATGAGTGAAATTGCTGGGCTATAGGATAAAGAGCTATTTTAGCTTTAGTAGGTTCAGCCCAATAGTTTTCCAAAGTGGTTGAGCCAATTTACACTCCCACCAGAATTGTGTGAGATTTGTAATTATTCTACATTGTTGCTAACACCTGCTATTGTCAATCTTTTTAATTTTATCCATTCTGGTGGGTGAATAGTGGTGTCTTTTTTATGAAATTGAATTTATTGGGGTGACACTGGTTAATAAAATTATATAGGTCTCAGGTGCACAATTCCATAATACATCATCTGTACACTGTGTTGTCAAGTCTCCTTCGGTCACCATTTATCCCCCTTAACTCTCTTCTACCCCTCTTCCCCCTGGTAATCTCCATGCTGTTATTTGTGTCTATGAGTTGTTGTCGTTTTTTCTTAATCCCTTTACATTTTCACCCAGCCCTCCAACCCCCTCCCCTCTGACGGCTGACAGCCTGTTCTCTGTATCTTTGAGTCTGTTTCTATTTTGTTTGTTAGTTTATTTTGTTCACTAGATTCCACATGTAAGTGAAATCATATGTTATTTGTCTTTCTCTGCCTGGCTTATTTCACTTAGCATAATACTTTCCAGGCCCATCCAGCTGTCACAGAAGGTAAGGTTCCCTTCTCGTTTCCAGCTGGGCAGTAGGCATCCATTGTGCAAATGTGCAACAGCTTTCTCACCCGCTCATCTGCTAATGGATACTTGGGCTACTTCCAAAAATTGGCTATTGTAAATAGCACTGCAACAAACATAGGGGTGCATATATTCTTTCAAATTAGTGTTTTGGGCTTCTTTGGATAGAGTCCCAGAAGTAGTGGTATTTTATTGTAGTTTTAGTTTGCTTTTCTCTGATAACCTTTTCAAGTGCATTTTGGTTATTTCCTCTTCTGAGCGGTGCCTGTTCAAGTCTTTTCCCCTTTTTGAAAGTGGACTGCTTTGTCTTTTACTTATTGATTTGTAGGAGTTCCTTCATGTTCTGAATATAAGTCCTTTGTCGGATATATGAAATGCAAATATCTTCTCCCAGTCTGTAGAGTGCTTCTTCACGTGCTTAGTAATGTCTTTTGAGGAGCCTAAGTTTTTATATTTTAGAAAATCCAAGTGATCAATCCTTTCATGATAGTGTTTTTTGCACTCAATTTGAGATATCTGCTTACCCCCAAGATCATGAAGATATTTTTCTATGTTTTTTTAGAAGACTGATTCTTTTTAACTTTTGCTTTAGACCTATAATCCATACTACATTAATTTTTATGTGTGGTGTGAGGTAAAAATTCATTTCCCCCCATACAGATTATCTTCTGTATGGAAATCCAATTCTCCAGCACAAAAGAAATGCAGTAGCACCCTTGTTGTAAATCAAATGAACATACATGTTTGCATCCATTTCTGGACTGTTAGTTCCGTTCCTTTGGTCTTTGTCTAGCCTTGTATCACTACCACCGTGTTTTAATTATTATAGCTTTATATTAAACATTGACATCTGGTAGTGTGTGCTCCTCTTTAAGATTATCTAAGCTGCTCTAGGTTTTTTGTATTTCCATGTAAATTTTAAAATTAGCTAGATAATTTCCACACATAAACCTTGTAAGAATTTGATTGCAATTGCATTAAATCTGTAAGTCAGTTTGAGGATTGACAACAATATCGAGTCTTCCAATTCATGGTACATTTCTCCATTTATTTAGATCTTCTTCTTGATGACTTTGTTGAACATCTGATTTAATTTAATCAACCCTGGAGTTGCCTGACCTTGGTCTTCTTGATATTATATTACAACATTACATACAATTATTATTTAATACATTTTCCTTTCTGCTTATACCATTTTTTTTCCTGGTTACTTGCAGCCAAAAACGCCTGAACCGACAAACTTTCCTTGTAGTGTGATGGATTAAGCAGAAGGCTTGAATCTATGCTACTCCCTGTGTGGCCATGGGTAAGTCACCTAACCTCTCTGGGCCTATTTCCTTATCCATGGAAACCTCACAGGGTTGGAAAGGTGTTCTCTTTTTCACAAACTGGTGAACGCTGACTCATCTTTCATGTCTCAGTTTAAGTTTCACTTTCTTTGGGAAGGCTTCCCTGACTCTTTCAAAAAAAACCAAAACAACCCCTAGCTGTTCTTTTCCTCCGCATACCTCTCAGAGCGGTCAGCACGCTGCGATGCCGTTGACTGCGTGCTGGTCTCCATCAGAGCCTTACCGGGCCAGTCAGGGACTTGGCAGGGAACAGAGGATACGCTCAGAGGGCTTAATTAAAGAAAGTGAAGGAAGAGACAACAACAGAGGAATAGACAGGATGGAGGGGGCCCACGGGATGACGAAGTCCCCCAGGGAGTAACCAGGGAGGCCACGATCTCCACTCTTGAGTCTGAAGGCTAGAGACGAGGGGGTGCAGCTGGAGCTCAGGGAGAACCGTCGCCAGAGGGGCTGCCCAGCAGATGCCACGAGCTGTCAGGGAGCAGAGCCTCCTGGGAATCGTGGGCAGGCGAGGGGGAGGAGAACTACGCCGTCCTCTCTCCTCTCGCTCTCTGACCTCCTTCAGCTCCCATTGGGTCAACCCAGCCAGCAGACAGAGGGCAGAGGAGTCCAGGTGATGCAGCTTGTAGAGGTTGGCCCCTGGCGGACAGAGCAGAGCAGCAGGAGGCAGAAGATGAATTAGAGAGAAGAAATAGGTAACAGTCAGCATGCTCACCTTTTGCATAAGCTTCTGCAGATTGGAGGCTGTCTTTAAAAATAATGTTGCCATAGTGTTTTAAACATTTGTTACAAAAACCCAAACATCATAGAAAATAGAATACCCCCTTTTAGCCCCAGCAATAACCGTAGCTAACTATCTGTTCTAAAATATTTCAGATTTGCTATACATGCACACTGAATATGTGGGTCTGTGGAAGACTGCATTTCCAAAAATGACCACAGCAGAATTTCTGGCCTTCTGTGGCCTTCCTGACATTGCCACGTCCCATCACAAGGTGAGTCTATTTTTCCTCCCCTTGAGAGCCTGGGGAGGGCTTTGTGATTGCTTTGATGAGGATGTGGGAAAGTGATGCTGCATGACTTCAAAACTAGGTCATAAAGGCTATATTGCTTTGCCCAGAAATTGCTCTTTCTTGGGATGCTCACCCTGGGAACCCAGTGAACATGTTATGAGGAGGCCCAGGTCCCATGAAGAGGCCACGTGCAAATGTGCTGGCTGACTGCCCAGCTGAGGTCCCAGCTGACAGCATTAACTGCCAGATGAGTGAAAGAATGAGCTTCCAGATGATTCTAGTTTCCAGCATCTGAGTGACCTCCGCTGATGCTGCATGGAGCAGAGGCAGTTATCCCCACCAAGCCCCACCCGAAAGGAAGCTTCATGAGCAAAATAAATGTTCTTTATTTTATTTTATTAAAGCCACTAGGATTTTGGATAACTTGTTATATAGCCATAATAGCTAGAACAGAGGCAGAATTAGGGGGTTAAACTCTCAGGCTCTGGAGTCAGACTTCTTGGGTTTGAATGTGGTCTCCGCCTCTTATTCCCTGTGTAATATTTGGCAAGTTGTTCAAATTCTAATCCTCAGTGTCTTCATCTGTAAAATGGGAATAATGATATTAAAACTCTCAGAGAGTAGGATCAGGGTATAAATCAATCAGCTCAGTGCTCAGCATGCATTAAGTTATTATTATTATTGATTGTTGATTCCCTGAAAGGCCACCAGGAAAACTTACTGATTGAACAAGGCTAAGCTTACTGCAGAAAGGGAGAATAGCACCTGGAAAAGTCTTAGGAGTATCTCCAAGTGAAGACACTTCGTTAAGAAAGGCTGCAGGGCCCAGCTGGCATGGCTCAGTGGTTGAGCACTGATTGGCTCACAGGCTCGATCCCCAGTAGGGGGCGTGGAGGCAGCTGATCAATGACTCTCATTGATGTTTCTCTCTCTCTCTCCCTCTCCATTCATTTCTCTGAAATCAATAAAAACACTATATATATATA